CTTTTCTCTTATTGATAGCATTTAAAATCTAATTGAAACATTATTTGGAGATAGCTGTGCTACCCACCCCTTCAGCTTTGATATGGCTTTTTAATCAAAGGACATTGTTATTTCACAATGACCATGGAAAGCATTCAAAACATTTTCTAAATGGAGTGCATTACTTCTGGCCACAGCCAAAAGACCACATTAAAAGGAGTTCAGTGGAATTCACTCTTTACAGTCTTCTGGGTTTGAAACATTGGTGTACATGTGGAATATGCTAAAACATGGGTCTACTCGTTACAAAGATTTAAGCAATGAGTTGACTTAAAATCTGAACAAAGTCAGCACTTGCTGTGAGTCCCTGCCATGCTCCAGGGAGGTATGATGCCCGTTCCCTGGTGGCAATGTGGGTGCTGCCATCCCCTCAGGTTGAGAGTAGGCAGAGCTCACACAGATCTCATGGAAGCCAGATAGGAGTGAGCACAGCAATCTTATACCAGCAGAGAGGTAAAGAGTGGCAACCAGATTAAAACGCCATAACCTAGCTCTTGGCTAAGGACCAGAGCAGTGAGGTGGAGGGGGGTGGGTTTACAGCTCATCCGCTGTCTGTCGTTTCCCCATTCCTCCGAGGGGGTGACTGATCTCACTGCCATCCTGCAAGATGTCATGATTCTAATAAGAAACACATGGGAAGAAGGGCAAGTTAGATTTTCTGTTGGTTGTGCATTGGGGATTATAAATGAGCCCTTAATGCTTACTTCCTTTTATATTTTGGGGTATATTTCTTGCTTGTAAGAGCACAGAAGAAAAGATTAAAAGTGGGATATGACTGAAATGATGCATTGGGTCAAAGTCCTCTCATCCTTTTGCCCTAGTCTGTCTAACATTTTTTAAAATCCCATTCTACCCAGGTACATTCAATTATAAAAGTAACCAGAAATAAATCAAACTTAATTAGTTTAAGATTATATATAAATATATAAAGCAAAACACAAACACAAACACACAGAATTGATTAGATTAAGGTGATTTGATCTAAGATATGCTGAAGCCCGAAGTAGGTGTATCAGTATTTTAGAGGAGCTCAGTTCATGATTTGCTTTAAGAGACACTGAAGCCCAAAGTAGAGGTATCAGTGTTTCAGAGGAGTTTGGTGCAATCTTAGTTGCTTACTTTATGCAAGAAGATATTGGTGAGATAGTGCCTGCGAAGTGACAGAAGAAATGTTCTGGCTTCTCTGTGATGAAGAACATATATATGATGATATAACAGAACCAAAAGTTTTTGTACTCAACTGACTTCAATCAAACAAGACACTGTGGGTCTAAACTGTTGTTCTTCCATTGCTGAAGCTGCTGCTCAGAACAAAGACATAAAGAGAGAAAGGCAGAGGAAGTGACAGAGTGGGAGAGAGGAAAAGGCTTCTGTATCTTTAATAATTAGCAAAGAACTGGAGTGTTTAGCCAGGAAATTATGGTACATATGCTGTCTACTTGCTTAGGACCCCTATATCCTGAGAACAAGCAAACATTCATCATTCACAGCTGTCCACCAGGCCCAGGTGACTGAAAATTCAATGCACAGACTTCTCGCAATGGGTCGAATGCTAATTGGGCGGCTTGGGGAGATTAGAGTATCCCTGGAGCTATTTTCTATCTGCAAAAGTCTCACAGACAATAGGGAAGTCAACAGTGTCTTTGCAAAGCTCTGCTTAATGGATGCTTTTGAGAAAAATTCAGATGAGTAAATAAATAAAAAAATATCACCAGTTCCTTTTTATTTTCCTTTCCCAGTTGTGGCTAGCTGGTTACTGCCTTTTCCCTTTCCTGCATAACTTCTTATAAATAGGAAACAGGAGTAGGGGAGGGGAGATTGAAAGCAGGTGGGAGAAGATAAATTGTATAAAAAATATTAAAAAAGAAAGTGTTTATTGAAAGTTAAACTGGAATTGGGTCAGTTTTGGAGATGGGCTTGAAATACATGAAAGTGGATTTTGCTCACATGTTTGCTTTCGTCTTGTGGGTCCTTAGAAAAATCTTTGTCCCTGCAGGTGTGAAACAAGCCATATATTCCTGATCCAAGCTCTGTAGAGGACTCTCAGTTCTGTGGATGTATTTGCTGCCCTTCTCCAGAACAAAGAACTGCGTCACTGGAAACCTGCTATTCGGTGGTGGGGTGTATCAAACTTGGATTGTTTCACATCAGTCAGTTCTGACTGATCTTCTTGAGTTCATTCCCAAATGCTAAATACTAGACCTATAAAATTGTGCTTGCCGGGGTTGTGCAGACACCAGTAGCATGTGGGACATAATATACACCTGTTTAGATATTACTGAGATTCAGGTTCAGATAAACCCCAAATTTCAAAGTAAAACAGCTAAATCCTCTGTCTTTGACAGGGATTTGATAGGGACAGTCCCTATTTCCATAAGTGGACTAGCACAGTGGTGAATCAGAGTTGAGGAATTTCCAATTAATTTCACTGTGATAATACTGGTCTGTAATTATGGGATGA